CTTTTTTGCTTGCCCTGCCGGCTTTTCTCTCTTCTGCGATTCTTTTTTTACCCAAAATAAGGGGAGGGGGAGGGGCGTCCTCCTCCCCTAGATCCGCCACTGCGGATGAATTTATTTTTCGTAGTCTTTCACAATCAATGTCCATGTAAGCTTATTATTAAAACTACGACAGCATACGTGTATGCAAACGGACAACTTCGTTTGTGTTTTATGTTTTAGTCCGTTATTTTGAATTCCTTGATATTCACCTCTGAGAATTATACTAAAACAATTATTCGCCTCAGGCTCAGTGAACGTTGGTGAATATTGAATATTCACCAACGTTCACTGAGCCTGAGGCGAATAATTGTTAAATAAAAAATACTTAACGTTCCCTTCCAGGTCTTCTAGATCAACCAGAGAATGCTGGTAAAAAGGGAACAACCAGTCCAGGTATTTTGAATTTTAATGTTAAATTTTGTCTCACGGTCTTTTCTTCATGCTTCTTTCTGAGGAAGTTGATTCCAATTGTTTCTACAATGGAAGGATGGGAGAACATGGAAGCATGGAAATAAGAAAGCCTGGAAATGAATGTTCGAGAATGTAGAAATGGGGGAATGACTAGATGGGAAATTTAGTTGATGGGCAAGAATTGTAAGGAAATAGCTGTTTCATGACTTAGTCATTTATGTTGACGAGTTTTGTTTCAAAGCTTCATTACCAGTGTCAGAAACTAGTGCTGGTGATTTGAACTTTTACATCAGACTTAAACGACAACAAGCTTTATTTGCATATTCATAATCTTTATAAATCAAGCTTTGTACACTACGTATGAATATAGAATTTAATAATATGCTATTTCCGAGTTATTTTGTACTCTTTTCCAATACGAATCCCAGTGCAAACCCTTTCATATGAAAATAAGTTTGATTTGCATGAAAATGAACCTGTAGGCGGAACACATTCTCATATGAATGGTTTTGTACGGAGACTCGTTTTGACACAGAGGCAAAAGGCAACTCAGAAATGGTCTATTGCTATCTGCCCAGTTTTTGGTTTCGTAATTTGGTTTTCCTGTTCTCTCTAGATAACGTTTTCTTACCAAGGTCTTACACATTTTCTTTTTAAACACTTACAAGCTGCGAGGCGACGAAAGCCGGAAGTCACGTTGGATTTTTGCGTTTGACCGCTGTCGAATCGTAACAATCTGGAGACCTAATAAGGTCATCGCTTCTTAGAGATAAAAGTGTGTCGTAGCTCGTAATTTGTAGTCAACGACCCGAATGCCTTCGCAGCAATTCATGTCTCTGACTAACTCTGAGAGGTTATAATTAAGAGGAGAACAGACATGCTTCAGGACTTTCAGGCCATTTATGCCCATTTATATAAAGAGAGTTTCCCTTTCTTTGCCAGTTGAACATACGGACGCCACTGCTTCATCGCCAACACAGAAAATGTTTACAGGTATTATGAACTTTAATGGTAAACTTAGAGTCTGAGGTCTTTTTCTTACCCCCACTTCAAGGAAATTTTGTTTTGTAGTTAAAAAGGAGGAAGAAAGGATGGGAGGACAGGAGGATTGATCGAAAGATTGATGAGAGAAAACAGATGGAATGCTACTGCGTGGTCAACTATTTTAGCAAGTATATTCTCAGGGTATTGATTTCACTACTCTCCTATAAGGGAGTTGATGTGGGTTGAAAGAGGAGATTGAAAAAAACAGGGATGGGAGGACAGTAAAATGGGAGAATGGGTGTATGGTGGAAGGTTAGGAGAATGCAAAGATAAAAAAATAGTTATTATTGAGAAGGACAAACGGTTTCCCGACAGTACTGGTCATTCATATTTATACCGTGTTTCATGTTCTTGGACAGGTAAAGATGCTGGTACAGGAACTTTATCTCCAACGGAGGGCACTTTTATAGGTAAATTTAATTTCTACCACAAACTGTCTCTCTTTCTCCTTTTCTTCGCCCCCATCTCTGGGAGAGTTGATTCCACTTCTTGTTTGTAACGCTGGGAGGATGGGAAGGTGATGAGATCTGAACACACAAAAAAATGGAAATGAGGAAGCAGGGTAATAAAGAAATCGAGGCTGGAAGAATCGAAAAATTGCCTGACGACAAATTGAGTGAATGGGAGAGAATGGTGAGGAAAAAGCTGATTTGTTACGTGTAGTCATTTACTTTGATGAGTGTGCTGTTTCATCACCAACAGAGCCGGAAATTTCCCTATAGTCCGAGTTTGAATGTTAAACTTCATCTGGAGTATTCTATTCACCTCTCCTCTGGGTTCCTGAGGGAATAATTTGGGAGAACTGTGGGATTGAAGTATGCACAGATGGGAAGTTAAAAGGATCGGAGAATGGATCTATGGGAGGATGCAAGTATAAAAGAGTAGATTGAAAGGAAGGAGAATTGGATAAAAAAAAAAAAGCCAGGAGAGTTTAAAATGAAAACAACCAAAAGGCTTTATAACTTAGTCATTCATATTAACAAATTCTTCACGTTCCCTTCCAGATCGAACAGAGAGCACTTGTGTCACGGATTCATCACCAATACAGGAAACAGTAATTTCAGGTATTTTGAATTTTTAATGTTAAATTTAGTCTCACGGTCTTATCTTCATCCTTCTCTTTGAGGAAGTTGATTCCAGTTGTTTCTACAATGGAAGGATGGCAGAACATGTAGACATGGAAATAAGAAAGCATGCATGGAAATGAAAGTTCGAGAAAGTAGAGATGAGGGAATGACTAGATCGAAAATGTTGTTGATAGGAAAGAATTGTAAGGAAGTAGCTGTTTCATGACTTAGTCATTTGCATTGCCTAGAGTGTTGTTCTTTGCTTGATCAATATGCAGGTTCCATAGCCTCATTATCAGTATCGGAAACCAGTGCAGGTAATTTGAACTTTTATATCAGACTCAAACAACAACAACAACAAGCGTTATTTGCATATTCATAATAGTTTTAAATCAACTTTGTACACCACGTGTGAATATAGAATTTAATAATACGCTATTTCCAAGTTACTTTGTGCAATGTTCCAAAACGAGTCCCAGTGCAAACCCTCTCATATGAAAATGAGTTTGATTTGCATGAAAATGAACCTGTAGGTGGAATTCATTTTCATATGAATGGGAGTGGCCAATTAAGTATACTTTTTTTAGTTTGAATTTTAGTTCTTAGTTGTGCTTCTTTTTTTTTTCTCAGTAACTTTTCATTAGCTATAAAATTTTTGTTATTTTTCTCAAATACGTAGGCGGTCCTGTAAAGCACTCTAGGGTGAAGTAGGCATCCTCAATAGAGATTTTAGAAATGAGATGTTTCGCACGAAGACTCGTTTCGACACAGAGGCAAAGGGCAACTCGGAAATGGTTTATTGCTATCTGCTCAGTTTTTGGTTTCGTAATTTGGTTTTCCTGTTCTCTCTTGATAACGTTTTCTTACCAAGGTCTTGCACATTTACTCTTAAACTCTTTCAAGCTGCGAGGCCACGAATTCCGGAAGTCACGTTGGATTTTTGCGTTTGACCGCTGTCGAATCGTAACAATCTGGAGACCTATTAACGTCGTAGCTTCTTAGAGATAAAAGTGTGACGCTCGTAATTCGTAGTCAAAGACCGCTGACTGACTCTGAGACATTGTAATAAAGAGAAGAACAGAAATGCTTCAGGACTTTCAGGCCATTTGTACATGACCATTTATATCAATGAGTTTCTCCCTTTCTTTGCCAGTTGAACATACGGGCGTTACTGCTTCATTGCCAACACAGGAAACTTTTACAGACGTTATGAACTTTAATGGTAAACTTAGAGTCTGAGGTCTTTTCCTTACCCCCACCTCAAGGAAATTTTGTTTTGTAGTTAAAAAGGGAGGACGAAATGATGGCAGGACAGGAAGGCTGATGAGAGAAAAAAGGTCAAAGGCAGCCGCACTCGATGCTGCACGGTCAACTCCATCAAGTATTTTCTCAGGCAAGTAAAAACTAACGATAGAATGTTCCGACGTTTCGGCGACCTCATGACGCCATTATCAAGGAATGAATAAAACAGCGAGTTCAAAAGAGTTAAGGCCTGCAGATTTACATAAATGAAGTTAATTTAAATAAATTCTTAAGCGCAGATCGAATCTGTTTGTACATTCAAACGTAGTCTTAAGGGCCCATTGACTGATCTTTCAAGACTGCTAAGGAAAATTTATTCGCATGTAACGTCATCATTTTTAGTAAGTTCAGAGTTATTTCATGTGTTTTAACTTTTTCATGATCAGTAACCCTAGTGATGACGTCATCAGGCACGCCCATGGTCATGTGACTAATACTGAAAAGACGCAAAGGCTCCCAGGGAAATTAGTTTATCGGGATTTTTTTCATTGATTTAATATTTTAATTTAAATCCTCATTACGCTATGCATAGATTTTGTTTCATTTCTAATCAGAATTTTTCTAATCATTTCTATCAGAATTTTGAGAGAATTTCAAAATATTGAACAATTCGTTGTTTTCTGAAAAAAGCATGATTTCGAAAAAGGAATGCATAGCTATGTTTCCAACGTTGGCTTTAATCGAAATTCGTCGAAAAAGGCGGGATTTAATGAAAAACTGTGTTCCTTTAGCATTTTAAGAAACCGGAAGTAAGCCCGATATATATTGGAAGTTACCCCATCAGCGCGTGCGCAATATACACTACCAGCGCACTTCGGTAAGATCAAACAAAGCCACACGGAGTTAGTTTTTCTCTTTCTATTGCTCTTGTTTTTTCTGTCTTTCTCTAATATTGTCTTTGCTTGTTTTTTTTTGTTTTTTTTTACTTTGCATTTTGTGAAACACAAAGAAAAACATCCAAAATCTAAGCGAATTTGGGAAGTTGTTGAGTTGTTTTTATTTTTCGCGGTCAGGCTGACGTAAGTAACCGGAAGTGAAATTTGACCTTCTAAGCAACGCGTGCTAGCGCGCGCTTAAATCGGTTAAACAGTCAAATTTACTCCTGCATTTTCTCAACACTTTGAGGTCCTCAGGGATTGCGCCCGCGTGGTCTTTATCGTAATGTTTACGGACAGAAGATGACGTGCCGTTATGGCCAACTACGCGTGCATACAGATATCCACGAGTATAACCAACATAGCTACCTGTATCGCACAGGTTATATTGAAAACGGTAAACTACAAACTGTTGATTACCTCTCTGTGGTTTAGTCTCGCATTCTTGGAGGTTCAGGCCAATTTTGCGACTGGATTGTGGTTTGGAGCTTAGACTAAGGTCTTTCAACAGAGTCTTAACGATGTCAGCGGAATCCTGATCCTTAAAAGGCATGACTATCCGGGTCACGTCATTTTCCGCCATTACTGACGAAGCCTGCGATGACGGCAGGTCAGCAGCGCAGGAGTTGAAAAAAGCGTTAATGGTTGAGTTGACGAGGTGTAGTGGGTACTCTAGGTGTGAAAACACAGACTTTAAACGCTCACACTCATCTGAAAAATAAATTCAAGACGAGGATAAACGTGCGCACGATCAAGCATAGTTGTTAATAAGCTTTGTTTGTACCGATTGTCGACATGACTCTGGTAATCGAGAAGTAAACCGGTATTGCTAGGCTTCTCGTAAACCCATCCTTTTCGATTTCCATGGTAAAGTTTACAACTGGGTGGGCGTGGTTGAGGGCATTAAGGAAGTCCGTAGCTGTAATAATATCGGGCATAACCGTGCGAGTATCGTCAACAAATCTGCGGGAATAAGTGGCCCATCAGGCCGGAGCTTATCCCGGTTTCTGTAGCATGAAGCGACTATGAGTATTTCTACTCC